GTATTTTTTAATATAGAACATCATGTCCTATTATGTCAGCCACTCATCCTCACTAATGAAACATGACCTGCCGCCATTATGGATTAAGCCATGTCAAGTCATCCAAAAATGCTCACCAAGGAATCACTGCTTATTAAATTTATCAAAAACTTTTGCCCAAATTAGTGCTGCATTTTATGCAGCTAGGGAAACTGAGACTCTGTCTATAAGTGACACTAAAAGAGTCTTCATAAGGAAGATAACTTTTAAAGAAAAAGAAGTATGATCTGATTCTTTCATTTCCATGACCATCAGAATTTCTTGGAGTGTGTGTTAAAAATAATTATGTCAAAATGGATTCTATTGTCCTGTATAACTAAAAAGAACATTTTTTTAAAAATCTACCTTCTGTACTTCCATCCCTAGAACGTCTGACATAGCAGAGCTCTAGTGGGACCCAGAAATCTGGTTGAACAAGAACATGGGTGATTCTGATGTCATTAATCAACTTTGAGAAAGCATTCTAGTTGTGTTGAGCCCTATATCTGGCTGAGAAGTCACACACCAAGTAGTCCTAAGCAATATTTGCAGAGGCAAAATTTCCAAGTTGGAGAAATTTGCCTCATCTCTCTACTGTTCCTCTTCTCTCTTCCCAATCACTTCAACTAGCCTTATTTTTCAGTATCTGGACCTATTTACCAGGCTTTCTATATTTTTTTTTCCTTCTTTTTCCCTGCCACCAACCCATGTTAAGCATAGGTGCTGTGAGTGTCATGCATAAGGTGACAGGTAGATTATCTAGTAAACTATCCCATGTTGGGGAGTTATGACAGCCAATACTTCAGTGTGTGGTTCTCCTAGGCATACATTCCTTTTAGCAAAGTGTTCTAGAAAGTGTGAGGTGTTCACCAAAGGGGGCAAATCTCAAATACTAAACTTCMATATTCCCTGGAAGTACAGTGGGGGAGGCGATTTTGGCTTGCTTGCCTCAATTCTTGGCAGGTAATCAGCTCTGCCTAAGAATGCACAGGATTTCCTTTGCAGACTTAAGTAGAAGTTGAAGAGGACAGGATTGACCACAAAAGGTATCAAGAGTGCCAAGTTCTTATATTCCAGCTTTGCTGGCTGGAGTGGATAGGATCRACCTGGAAAAACACTGGCTAACATTGCCCCAATTCACTTTTTGCTAATATGATACTGATCTGAATCACAAAGCCAGCACAGGAGTTTGCAATGGGAAATATCTCTTTCTAAAGGAAACTGTTCAGCCCACAATGGATCAACATCCATAACAGTCCTAAGAATTCAGAATCTGAAGTCACTTGTGCTCATCCACCAGAGATGCTGCTTCAGTTTTCCTAGGCGCCAGAGCCAGCAAAAGGGAAGAGGCTGCAGGGCCGGTGTCAAGAAGGGCCAGGATGAGCCTGGCCTGATCAGGGGAAGTGTCTCTGGGTTCTGAATCTGCCCCTACTACTCATTAGCTGTGAGACTTGGGGCAAGTTATATTATCTCTTTAGCCTCAGTGTATTACCTATAAAATGGGAAGTTATACTGACACAGAATAATCACTTTGTTATTACCATACCATTAGTATTCTTATTAGCGCTCCTGGAAAAAGAAAGATAAACTGATGTTGGGGTACATAAACCTCTCTGCTGGGGTACAAGTACAAGTACAGAATTGCTTGAAGAAATTCTGCATTGTCTAGCCACAGAGTATATATACATTTTGGAGTTCATGGAATAGAAGCTAAATTAAGGTACCTGTATTTGACTATTATTACAAAACATTAAGGATATTACTATAATTGATTTCCACAAAAAGTTCTTAGTATTTGTGTCTGCAAGGTGCTGGGAATTGAACACCAGGGCTTCATACATGTCAGGCAAATGCTCTTTTAGGGATCCATATCCCCAGCCCTCTATCAGAAATTTTATAGTGTAAAATTTAATTATATAAAGTAAAGCAAACTATTGACCTGAATTCCATATGATAAACTGCAAAATAACATGGCAAARCATCGTGTAAAAGTTTAAGTTTCAAATTCAAGGTTAGTTTATCTAACCTATGTTTTTCCCAGGGAGGTTTTTTTTTCTTATGACCCTCAAACTTGGGAAAGATAAGGGGATGCATATTCATTTCTTATAAAAAGTTCAATGTGCTTTACTTCAGTTTTTTCCCCAGTTTCTTGAGATATAAATGACAAGTAATATTTCATTGTAATAATTTAAGGTATACAACATGATGATTTGAAATATTTACCACAATCAAGTTAGCTATCAACTCACATGATCAGTGTGTATGTGTGTGTGTGTGTGTGTGTGTGTGTGTGTTAAGAATTAAAGTTTACTCTCAGCAAATTTCATGTATACAATGCAGGGTTGTTAGCAATAGTCATAACATTGGACATTAGCTCCTCTACTTATTCATCTTATCACTGAAAGTTTTTAGTCTGACCAAAATATCTCCATTTCCCCAACTCCTAGCCCCTAGCAATCGTTATACTACTCTGTTTCTTCAAGTTTGATTCTTTCAGATTCCACACATAAGTGAAGTCATATGGTATTTGTCTTTCTCTGCCTGATTTAATTCACTTACCATGGATCAAGTTTCATCCATGTTGTTGTAAATGGCAGAATTCCCTTCTTTTTTAAGGCTGACTAGTATTTCTCTGCATATATACAACACATTTTCTTTATCCATTCATATTGGTTGTTTCCATGTCTTGACTAATACGAACAATGCTGCAATGAACATTGGAATGCAGATATCTCTTCAAGATATGCTTTTATTTCCTTCAAATATATACCCAGAAGTGGGATTGCTGGACCATATGGTCATCTTTTTGTTTGTTTGGTTTTGTTGCTATTAAGTTGAATGAGTTCCTTACATGTTTTGGATATTACCTCCTTATCAGATATATGGCTTGCAAACATCTTCTCCCATTTTACAGGCCTGTTCATTTTGTTGATTGTTTCTTTCAAGTGCTCGGTGGTAGAACCCCTGTCTAGTATGACCAAGACTTTGATTTTCAATCTTTAGCGCCACCAAAAAAAGAAAGCAAGTATTTTTCCCCTTTTTTATAGGTTCATTATAGCATTTCAGTTTGATATAATCTCATTTGTTTAGCTTTGCTTTTGTTGGTGGCTCTTTTAGTGTAGTTATTGGAAGAATCATTACTTAGGCTGATGATATCAAAGAGCTTTTCCTCTGCGTTTTCTTCTAATAATTTTGTAGCTTCTGGTCTTACATGTATGTCTTTATTCCATTTCAAGTTAATTTTTATGCATATTGTAAGATAAGGGCTCAATTTCATTCCGTTGCCTGTGGGTGTCCAGTTTTCTCAACACCATTTAATGAAGAGACTACACTTTCCCATGTGTATTTCTGGCACTCTTATCAAATAGTATTTGACCAGTTGTTTATTCCTTGGCTCTGTATTCTGTTTCATTGGTCTGTTGTCTGGGTTTTGCCAGGACCACAGCRTTTCAATTCCTGTAATTTTGTAATATAGTTCACAATCAGAAGTGTGATGCTTCCAACTTTGTTCTTTCTCATTACTTTAGCTCTTCATGGTCTTTTGTGGATCCATGTGAGTTTTAAGGTTGCTTTTTTCTATTTTTGTGAAAAATGCCATTGCAATTTTGATGGGGATTACACTGAATCTAGAGAATGCTTTGAGCAGAATGAACATTTTAACAATATTAATTCCTCTATTCCAGCAACATGAAATATCTTTCCATTTGTGTCTTCAATGTCTTCCACCAGTGTTTTATATTTTTCAGTATACACAACTTTTCCATCCTTTATTCTTATTGATGCTATCATAAATGGGGTTGTTTTCTTTTTCTTTTTGGATTGCTTACTGTCAGAGTATAAAAATGCAATTTGGGCTCGGTGGTAGAGTACTTGACTARCATGACCAAGACATTGGATTTCAATCCTTAGCACCACCAAAAAATACAGCAACTGATTTTTTTTTCCTTTTTCATTGGTGATTATAGTTATATATAATGGTGGGATTTGTTGTTACATATTAGTATAAGAAACAGTGTAACAATATAAGTTGGCCAATACCCTTCCCAGTACTTCTTCCCTCCTTCCTCCCACCTGTGGGTCCCCTTGTCCTAGTCTACTGATCTCCTTTGCTTCTCAGGCCGTCACCCTCTTTTCCCCATCACATACCCTTTTTTTTTTTCTTTTTCCTCAAATGAGAGAAAACCTTCAAACCTTGATCTTCTGACTTTGGCTTATTTTGCTTAACTTAATGGCCTCAAGTTCCATTCATTTTCCTGCAAATGATACAATTTTGTTTTTCTTTATGGCTGAATAAAATTCCTTTGTGTATTCTGTTGCCTGTGGGTGTCCAGTGTATATATGTGTATACATGCCACATTTTCTTTATCCATTCACATGTTGATGGACCCTTGTATGTTGGTTCCATAGTTTGTCTATTGTAAATTGTGCTGCTATAAACATGCGTATGCATGAATCACTATAGAAAGATGATTTTAATTCTTTAAGATAAATGCTGAGGAGTGGTATAGCTGGGTCGTATGGTGGATCCATACCTAGTCTTTAAAGCAACTGATTTTTATATGTTGATTTTGTATTCTGCAGGTACACTCCTTTTGTTTATTAGCTCTAACAGTTTTTTGCTGGGGTCTTTAGTGTTTTCTACACATAAGATCATGTCATCTTCAAACAGACAATTTAGTTTTTTTTTTTTTTTCTGATTGGATGACTTTTTCTTTTTCTTGCCTAATTGCTCTGGCTAGAATTTTCAGTACTATGTAAAATAAAAGTGGTAAAGTATGCAGCCATATCTTGTTTTTAGAAAAAAAAATTTAATATCGATTGAGACAAAAATTGGGTAGTACTACCTATAGCTGTGCTTTTAGTATTACATCAATGTATTTCCATTTGTTTACTCAAAAATAATTATTGAGCACCTATCATGTGCCAGACACTGGGTAACATGGTTTTACAGGAAATGCTGGCAAAGGAGAGAWTTAGTATTTCTATACCAGACCTTCKGTTTTACCATTCAGGACTGAATAAGCACCAGGTTCCCCTTTGCTGAAACTTACATTTATGTGTCCATGCTGGATTAGTCTTGCAGAAAGCTTGATGAACACTGTCAGAGACGCACAGAGCAGGGCAAAGCTCAGACACAAGTCAAGGACTTGAAGCGTCAGGTGGAACTCTTCATAGTGAAGGGGGTCCAAGCAAACAGATGGGAATTTCGCATATGGAAAAGGAAAGGCAATGGCATAACCAAGATAATTGGTCCCCGCGATCCCTGAAAATGAATAGAAGCAATATGGACCAAGGAGAGCAGATTCCAAGGCTACTGCAAAATGAAGTGGACATCCCATAATGCTCAGAATCACAAAAGTGAAGCTAGCTTCCCACTGAAAATAAAACAGAGACAAAGTGTTAATGTGAGGATGAGCTATTTCAAAAACTTTTAAGCAATGTGAAGGAGTTGCCAGGTATCAATCTCTCCTAYTGGAAAAGGAGGGAACCTTGGGTCACAATCTTTTTTTGTTTTATTTATTTGCTTATTTATTTATTTATCATTTATTTTTTTCCTTTGATAGTGAGGATTGAACCTAGGGGCACTGTACTTGGCCCTTTTTCTAAAATGTATTTTATCTTGAGACAGGGCCTTCCTAAGTTGTTGATGCTGGCCTTGAACTTGTGATCCTTCTGTTTCAACCTCCCCAGTAGTTGGGATTACAGGTATGTGCTATCGCATCTGATTTCAACTTTCTTTGTGGGCTCTCACATTCTTGCCTCCAATCCACACTTTGGGAAAGAAACATGTCAGCCAACTGGGGCAAAAATGAAATCAATGCAATTCAATAAACAGTTGTTTATCTCACATATGCACAGAGAACCTGGTAGCTGGGTGTGGTAGCACATRCCTGTAATCCCAGCTGCTCTGGAGATGGAGGCAAGAGGATGGTGAGTTCAAAGCCTTCCTCAGCAATTTAGGAAGGCTCTGTCTCAAAATAAAAATATGAAAAGGCCTGGGGATATGGCTTAGTGGTTAAGCACCCCTGGGTTCAATCCCCAGTTCAAAAAAAAAAAAAAATAGAACCAGTCTCTGATGGGATAATCCAAGATGAGAGAATAGAATAGAGATAGAAATAAAATTCTAAAATAGAATAGAAAATAGAATGCCTTCTCTAGGAACTTCTCTTGCTACTTGGGGTGTGATCCGCTATCCCACAGCATTGACATCTCCCTGAGCCTGTCAGAAAAGTAAGACTCTCAACCTTCACCCAGATCTGTGGAATCACAGTCTGCACTCTAGCCAGATCTCTTGTTGATTCACACATACATTAATGATTGAGAAGCACAGGCTTAACCATGGGAATAAAGTCTATCATTGGTTACGGTAGACTTTCTACGCACTGGGATTACCTGGCTCTATACTGTTGAAATGCAAGATATGGATTTTTTTCATCCTTTTCCAGAAAAGTAACAGAGAGATGAGAAGAAGACCTCCAATGCAGGAGCTGACACTAAAAAGAACATTACTTTAGGGCAGAGGGTATGGCTTGGTGGTAGAGCATTTGCCTAGCATGGGAGTGACTCTAAATTCAATCCCCAGCATCATAAAGAAAATTAAAAGAAAGAAAGAAAGAAAGAGAGAGAGAGAGAGAGAGAGAGAGAGAGAGAGAGAGAGAGAGAGAAAGACAAATGAAAAAATTATTAAAAGCAGAAGAGCCTGTAGCTCTGTTCTCTCAAAATTAAATTCAGGAGCTCTAATATCCATTGACTCTGCCCTCCCCAAAGACAGTAATTACTACAAGGCATGGTAGAAATGGTTTGGAGTAGAAATCAGATAAAAAATATTAATTTAAAGCATAAAGGTTATTGCTGAAATCCATCATAGTACGGTCACAATTAGATCAAATTCCTTGATAAGTGGAAATCATTCTCTGTGTGCCATCCTAAATGAGTGGTGCTTGACCTTCAAACCCACTCCGCTGTCCTACTTAACGTCTCTGTGTTTACCAGGTGTCTGTGGGTCCACTCTTTGTAAGCCGACAGTACAAGCACACCAGCTGTGATGGCCTGTGAAAAGAAAATTGGAAAAGTAACATCTACAATAGAAGGTACCTCTGGAAAGAGTTCAATCTGTCTCACAGTTTGACGACTTTATCACAAACTAGAAGGAACAGCAAATGGCTAAATGGATTTATGGCTCTGATCTCCTCTTCTTCTGAAGAAGAAACTGTGATGACAATGAAGAAAATAAGCCATTAATGTCAGAAAGCCCTGATTCAACCCAGCTCACTTTTACATTCTTGGTCTTGCCTTGGCCATCCCAGTGAAAATCTCAGATACCGTGTCACCGTAATACAAGCTTGGTTTTATACCCYTGGACGAATGTTTTATTTTGAATAAGTGGCTCTTTTTCACCTTTCTCACAAATTGCTAAAATTGCAAATKGGAAGGACCAAAATGGAGACCTGTCACAGAGCCCTAAGTTCCCTCCCAGCAGTGACATTTCTCTTTAGCTACTTGCTTTTTTTCCCCTGAGATTCCGAGGCCTGGGCCTGCTGATGGGCTACAAATAAACGATCTCTGTTTCTCCAACAACAAAGATTATCACTGGAATGAATGTGTGATGTGGCATTTATTGTTCTGGGTGCAGTTGTGTCCAGCTTTTCAAAAGAGAGTTTTTCTTTCTAGTCACCATTGAGGGAGAAAGGCCCAACATACAGAATGGAAATGGTTAACAAAGGAGGGAATGTTGCCACCAGAGTTGAGCAATAGATAACGGAAAAAAAAAAAATCTCTGAGCTCATCTTTGATTCAGCACCAGGTCTGATGCAGGAGACTTTTGTGGTTATTGAGATTACAAATTGCTTATTCCCAATCCATATAAATCATTCTGGGCTTGACCAAGGAATGTTTTGAGGTCAAGAGAGAAAACCAGGAAGAGGCGTGCTTAAAATAAGATATTAAAAGTGGAAAGATCTAAAAATAGGAAAATTTTGGTTTTGAATAGAGAGATAAACACAACGGTACATATAGAACTGGCAAGTTCAAGGGGGGAAATCAGAATTTTTACCAATATGACTTTGTGGTGTGCAGGGTTTGTAGTTCGAGCTTTGGCATATTTACGGTTTGGASATTTAGCTTTTCATTTTTCTGGCATATTGTATTTTGAATGTTGGATTTAGAGATTTGAGAGAGCRCAACACATACACACATGCACACAAATACACATTCACTCTCACAAAACCTCTCATTAGTCGGGCCTGAAATTCCAGACTTGGCATGGCCATATCATAAAACTCCATGGATAAAAACAGAACCATCTGTAGTCAGAAGAGCTTCCTGGCTTGATTCTGCAAGAGGAGTTTCCAAGGGACCCTATGGAGATTGAGCCCAAATAAATAGTACAAAACCTGAGAATTAATAAGAGCAATTGTAACTGATGCCCTGGGGCAAGCCTGGGGCTAGGCTAGGCTTTCAGAGGCCTGGCCCTCAATTGACACATCACTCCAATGTCATTAATCAGAGAGAGAAATGTGGAAGCAAGATGAAAGCAAAGGAGACAGCCTCACCCCCCTCTGCTGGCTTAACTAGGAGAAGATAACTGACATTATCAGATGCTTAGATTCCAGGTTGCCTTAACTACTTTAGCATGAGCTGTTTTTTTTTTTCCCCTTCAAACGTAGAAAAATGCTGCAGAGGTGCAATTGCCTGTGACTTCTGTTGTAGCTGCCAGCTTGAATTTTGCTTTGTTTACACAAAACTTTGAAAAAGATCTTTCACAGAGTCGGTTGAGTATAAATGCAGTTCAGTCTCTTGTTAAATCCACCCTGCGGATGGCATGGTGGATGGGATGGTGACTCAAGGGCTGAGTACGCCCATCATCTCTGACTCCCCTTTCCAGGGATGGGGGATCCGTGCAGGGTATTTCCCCCCTGAGACAGGAGTTACGGTTGTCCCCTTTTCTTTCTTCCACTTCTTTTATGCAAATTTTATTTTTATATAGGGATGGAGGAAATTGAAAGAAAAAGGAAGAGATTTGACAGTAGGCAAGACAAGTCCAGGGAGAGGTGAGAGAGAAGGTGTCTGGGAGGTCAAAAATCACAGTGCAGCTGTGGGGAAAGACAGAGTGGAGGGGGTGAACAGCAAGGAGCAGAAAAGCACCCTCCTCCCTCAGCTATTCTTGATAGCTATTGGCTTACTTTCTGGGCACTTCCACCAACTTGGGTTTCACAACAATTGCTGCTAACATTTTGATTGCATGGTAATTGTGAGTCCTCCCACTAAATCTTTAAATTGCTTAAGTAAAGGATGCAGTTCCCAGAAGCAGATGAATTGAAGGAAGCTGGGAACAGTCAAAACAAAAATAGAAACTTTTAAAGCCATCATATTTATATGGGGTAATTTATTCGCCTAAGCATCTATTGTGGGTCTACTATAAACAAGGGATGAGATGGGCCCAAAGCAGATAAAATAATGATAATAACTGCTAACATTTACGGAGTGCTTAATATATAGCAGACACTATGCTAAACAACTTGACATGTGTTAATTTGCTTAATCCCCATAATGACCCTATCAGAGACATTCTTTCCACTTCTCAAATGAAATACAGGGAGGCTAAATCAGATGAGGAAGACCACCAAATCATATTTGCATAAATCATAATTGCACCTTTCATTAGCATTTATAGCCCAGGTATGAAAATAAGGCACATATAAGAACATCCACAAAATTAGGCAAGAGGAACGGCACTTTCTACACCAAAAAGCCTAGGTGATGAGTTCCCACTTTCATCCATGATGAAGGCACAATGAACAGCAGGATGTGAGGCGAGTTTGAGGGATACCCATGATCTCTGGAGGTGATGGAGGGAGGGCAGCCAGTCCTGGCCGTGGGATCAGCACGTGGGCAGGTGAGGGAGTGGCATCCTGCTTAAGGAACAGGGAGTAAGGAACCCAGACCTCCCTCCTTGCGAAGAAGAGAAGATTGGATTCAGAATCATGTGACACCAGGGTAGGGAGGCCTCAAAAGTTAGGCTGGTGTGTCTGGATTTTGTTGGGGGATAATAAAGCAATGCCAAAAGATGTTGAAGAAAGAGCTGGCTTGACTTGCAGGAAGGTCTAGAAAGATGAGCCAGATGGGGCATGCAGGCCTGTTAGAATGCAGCGAGGCTCCCAGGTCTCTGCAGGACCCTGGTTCTTCAGGCTTTCTTTCTCTCTTTTTAAAAAACTCTGCTCACAGTAATATATCTTGTACCATGACCTACTTATAAATCTTTTTATATCTAACAAAAATAGCACTTAACCTTTACTCTACGTGATATACACTCTGCTATTCTCTCTTCTGTTCTATTTGTTGTAAATGCTGTTAGCTCCTCAATAGATTGGATTTATAAATCCACTAATGGAGAGATTGGCACAGTTTGGCTATTGAAGTTATCYGGATACCACCTCTGAGTAGGAGTGGGAAGTGATAAAGGGTAGGAAAGGTGCGCAGGGAGAAGGAATGTATAGGAATATGCCTCAGAGGCAAAATCAAAGTCACAGGACAGCTAACTGGACTGGGCCTGGGCCTGGGCTGGTTTAGGGCATTGTGGCTCAAGTGCCATCCTGGGACCAGCAACAGGGGCATCCCCGGAACTTCTTAGACTTGCAGACCCTCAGGCCCCAAGCAAACCTACTAAATCAGGATCTGCATTTCAACGTGATCCTCCAGTGATTTCTACAGTTTGAGAAGGGCTAATTTAGAGAAAAGTATTGAGTCAAAAATCACACCTAGGGTTTGAAACTGCATTTCCAAGACAGTGAAAGAGAAGTCAGAGAAGACAGAATTGGTTTTGGTGACAAGATGATTAATTCCTATTCAGCCACACTGACCCAAAAGAAGCTTAGTTTCTCTCAGCAGAAAATTGACGAAGATTCTTTGCTTGAGCAAACTTTAGTCAGGTTCCTGAACCTTTTCCTTGGCCCCTGTGCCCTTCCTTGTAAGATCCCATTTAAATAAGGACTCAAATCAGTTTGGCAAGAAACCGCCAGACTCAGTATCTGTAATGTCTGTTCACACTCAGAATCTGTTTGGCTTCCTAATCCTCCATCTTCTCCCAGAGATGTCTGGTCACCTACAGCAGGATCCCATTTTAGCCAGAATTCCCTTTGTCATCCATGTTTCCTCTTGATCCTTTTCTATCCATTGATCCCCACTCTGATTTGGAGCTATAAATTCCCACTTGCTTATACTGTATTTGGGATTGAACCCAGTTCTATACTGAGGTCTCTTTTTCTCTATTTCAATATTATTGCTTCTTAAAACTGTTTTTATTTATCTGCTGTCTAGCTCCGGCGTTCCTTTGACACCACCCGAGGGTTGGGAGTTGTGATTGTGGAAGCTGTCAAGAGACATGAACGATTGGGTAATCAAGGCCCTCCTGTAACCCTTAAGGAAACCGAGGCCTGCGTGACTAAGTGGAGCCCTGACCTTTCTCCCCAATTCCTGTTTCTCAGCGGAGTTCTGGGTGCACTGCTGCCACTTGCCATTGGGCCAAATCGCTGGTCTCTCCAGGCCTGGGTCGTGGGATCAAATTCACTGTACTTCAGTCACTTCAGCAGAGCTTCATCTGCAAGCCACATTTTCCAGGATTAGTGGGGCTCAGTCCTTAAGGCACTAAGATCTCCTCTCTGCATACTTACCAGCTGCTGATGCCTTTAAATAACCTAGCTCAGAGATTCTGGGAAAAGTACGTGTCATGTGGCTGTCAGAATGGAGTTAGAGTCTGAAGCCTCATATTTTTGGAGTACTTAGAAAGTCTTGACTAAAAGGTGTTGAACAAATACAGGTACTGTATCGCATGCAAAATCTATCTTACAGTTTCAAAAGAAATATGGAGTCATTTGCAAAAGGAAATGTTGATATGATTGAATTGTACAAATTATCTTTTCTCCCGAGGAAGACGTATTTGGAGGCAAATGAAGTGACTGGYAAGGGAAGTTGTGGAATGAGGTGGAGAACTTTTGAAGTTGACCCCSATCAGATAGAACTGTGGCTCCATAGGAAACTCAGAAGGGGGGGAAAAAAATCTCCTTGTTCCAGATTTAGACATCATTGGAAGAGTGAGCATTCTCATTGTGTTCCTTCTCACAAAGATTTTTTTTTCCTGTTTTATTATAAATACCAGCTTGACCTTCAGTCCTTGCAACCTAGTCAGAGTTCGACTGTGTAAGATATTCTGTACCACCAGAAGGGAGGGCATAGATTCGTGCACTTAATTCAACAGTATTCATTAAATAATATTTATTGAAAACACAGTATGTGACTCTGGATAGAGATAGAGCAGTAAACAAAATAGGATTTTGTGTGTATGTGTATGTGTGTGTATTGTTTTTGTGGTGCTGGAGGTTGAACCCAAGGCCTTGTGTATGTGAGGCAAGCACTCTACCAACTGAGCTAYATCCCCAGCCCACTATATCCCTGTCCTTGTATAATATTCATTTATCAAAAAATAAGCAAAGTACAGTGGTGCACCAGTAATCCCAGCTATCCTGGAGGCTGAAGCAGGAAGATTCCMAATTCTTGGCAATTTAGTGAGACTCTAACACAAAATAAAAATTAAAAAGGGCTGGGATTGTAGTTCAGTGACAGAGCACCCCTGGGTTCAATTCCCAGCTCCACAAAGAGAGAAAGAGAGATAGAGATAGAAGAAGAAGGAGGAGGAGGAGGAAGAAGAGGAGGCGGAGGAGGAGGAAAAAAGAGTGATGTGTGATGAGGTCCAGGAGGTAAGGGTGGGGGACTTAGGAGGTCATCAGGAAACAGGACAGTGAGGCGGGTGGCAAGGGATTAATAACAAAGAGTTTGGACAGAGAGCAGGGTACAAATGAAAGGCAGAGTATTAACTAGCATTTGAGTAGAGCTTTAAAATTGGCAAAGCTCTCCCTGACACAATCTGTTCAATTTGTGTTTGTTCTCMTGGAACAGCTTAGGTTTAGACAGTKTCCCACATGCCTTCCTCTCACCTATGAAATTCTCCTTTTTGTAGGTCAAGGCAAGGAGGAAGTGACTGACGGAGGGTCCTGTGTTTGATCACRTACCAACATTAAGTCAGAACTTGAACACAGGTCCACCTCCCCAAATCCTATGTCTCTCACTGTACCTCTCCATGCTGTTGCCCCTGAAATCAAACAGCCACCAACTAGCTGCCTGCTGGAGGAGACACTGTCATCTCCCTGGGCCTATTGGTAAAATAGATGTTTGGCTTAGAACAAGTCTACATTAAGTATKTATAACCTTAATCAGAATCTACCAATATTTGTTGAATTTATTGACACCCTTCAGGKATAGGCAAAGACCAAAAAGAAAAGGATGGAGGGTTGGACTACATTCGGGATTTTGTTAAACTTTGGGCATTCTAAAATAATTCAATGGAGCTGAGTGTGGTCGTGCACACCTGTAATCCCAGCAGCTTGGGAGGCTGAGGCAGGAGGATACAAGTTTGATGCCAGCCTGGGCAAATTAGGGAGACCCTGTCTCAAAATGAAAATATAAAAAGGGCTGGGAATGTACTCCRTGGTATAGTGCCCCTGGGTTCAATCCCTAGGGCCACCCCCCCCCAAAAAAAAGGGGAAGAAATATAAAATAAAATARTTAAGTGGAATAAAAATTACCAGCATACATTTCACATAATAACCCAGTATTATCTTGTGAAAGTTTTGTTACACATATTGATATGAGTAAATCGATATTCATCTAGAAAGAAAGATGTAGTCTCTTTGTGTATATTCCAGGTCCTGATGTGAAATATTTTTCTTATTCTGGGTCACCAACAAAAAAAAAAAAAAAAAATTGCCGCTTGAATAAATGTAATTGCCAATGCTGTATTTAGTTCAATAAACATTTCTTTGAATGAAAGTGTGGTTTGAGGTAGGTGCTGGGAAAAGGAAGGGAAGGTCTAGATGGGGGAAGTATATGTAAAAGAATGTATTTAAAAAGAAAAGAAGAAAGAAAACACCACCCAAGGTTCAGTTTCCCTCCCACCACCCTGCTTCCTGTGTCCACACACTATTAAAGGCAGAATTCCTACTTAAGACCAAGASTTGGATGGATCTTCCCATGATTCCCCCCCAAATGCTGTAGTTCTTCAATAAATCCTTATTTCATAAATAAGTTAAACAYTATGTTTCCAGGGGTTATGCTTTTAGATAGCATCCCAGTCAACTGTTTATAAAGATTTAAGATGTTAGCCCACCCAAGAGWAGCTATATTTTAATAGAAGTTTCTTTAAGATCAAAAAACTTCAGAATGGAATTCTCCAATAACTGGTGGAAGTTAAGAATATTTGATAATGAGAAAATATCTCATGGGAAATAAGGAGAGAAACTAGGCAGGGACCCCCATCACTCCTGTTAAGTCATGCTGCCTTGGAAGTCCTTTCCTCCCAAGGACAGTTGTAATTGTTTTGTTGGATCAGGGAGCTGAGGTAAGCCAGTTGCTTATSTGTGAGATTACTAAATAAGCATCTACTTAGTGCAGTCACTTGACTAGGTGCATGCATACTTTCCTAGCAAATTGTGAAGTYAGTGAAGTCCAACACCCCACTGCCTTATTGTTCAAAAAAAAAAAATTAATTGTAGATGGACACAATACATTTTATTTATTTGTTAGTTTGTTATTTATTTATTTATTATGTGGTACTGAAGATCAAAGCCARTGCCTCGTGTGTGCTAGATTAGTACTCTACCACTGAGCTTCAACCCCAGCCCCCAACACCCCACTTCTTGAATTATTTTCAGTTCAAACAGTTGGGTACAAAGAAAGTGGCAGGAGAACAAAACTTTGGGGCTTGCAAATTTTAGGGCCATATAGGCTCACCTTGGTCTTTCTAAGGGAAATATTACTTTGAAAATTATTTTACTTCATTCTACATTTTTAAATGGTATGATGGTTTATGCCTTTTTCTAAATCTGTAAATTGAATTTCAAAAGGATGAGTTCTATTTTCTCAGAATAACAAGGTAAGAAGATTAAAATAAAAATWTTAAGTTTCTGAAACGTTTCCTTATAATTCACACGATAAACATGCATACATATTAAAACAATATAAACAAAATCCCAATACTTAAAATATAACTATGGGCTGGGCTTGTAGCTCAATGGCAGAGTGCTTGCCTACCTAGCATGCTTGAGGCACGGGTTCAATCCTCAGCACCACAGAAAAATAAATCAATAAAATAAAGGTATTTGTGTTCATCAAGGACATAAAAAAATTTAAACAAGAGTTTCTGGTATATAATATATATTAAACAAATATAAATCCACGTACTAAGGTGAATTCTGGTTTTCTGCAGAATTTTGACTTCTTTGTATTGTCCGGAATATGTTAAAGGACACGTTATTCTGTTTCCCCTCTCCCTCCCCTCTCCCTTTATTCTCTCAAAATACTTAATAAAATATGATCCTACCAAAGCTCCGTTCCAGATGGGACAAGCAATATGGACACTCCATCCAGTGAACCAGAGCTTGTGAGAAAAAACAGGGAAAAACGCAATAACTCCAGAGAATACGCTGAGACTCCCCAGAGTAACGAGAATCCAACCAGCAGCCTGATACAGGGCCTTCATTTTCCTCTGCGACTGGAGTCTTTGGTCTCAAAGATGTTTTGTTACCAAAACATGAGCATATGACAGGCCCCAATAAACAGAAGTTTCTTAGAGACGGTAGCCATGACACATGGGGACTGTTGATCCACTTGGAAATAAGATATGATTCCTTTCACTGGAGGTGGAATGTCGTCATATAATCCTTGATATAAATTAGACACAATCATTTCTAATACTGGTTTATTTCAGAGAGAGAAAAGAGTGAAAAACCATTCCTTGTTTTGGAGAGACTGCCTTGATTCCCTTCTGCCCTGTCCTGGGGAGTGACCACTTCCTGGCTTAATCAGATTCAAAGGCTTGCTGACTGAGCTAATTGTTTCTCAACTCAACCTGCCTAGTGGTTCCAGCATAAAGCCAACATCCTTTGTGCACAATAGATCCACATTCCCAGCACAATTTCCCACAAAACAAAGTAAAAAGAAGCACTCGGACCACTTTTCATTACAYTGAATTTAAATGTTTTAAAGCCAAACAAGGCTTTTTGCCTCTCTCAAAGTTTAACATCACTACAATTATTTTTGAATTTTTCATAGGGATTTTTATATGGCTTTATCCCTAAATAGGCCTAAGTTTCACTATGAAGTTCTGCATTGTTTTCACTGAACTGGCTTCTCCTTGGTAATTTTATTATTAATTCAATTTTTAAGTAAATCGCAGAGATGGAAGTTTGCAGTGGTAAAATAAACTTTGAGAAGTAATTTACCGGTTGAATAAAACACTGATCTCCATCCCTTCTTGAATCACAATTCTAATTRGAGTTGTTGGGCTTGTGTACATTTAAGCAATTGCAAAAGTTCATCTCTTCATTCTTCATGCATTTGAGAAAATGTGTATTTGATTTTGACTGATAGGATACGTTTGAATGTCCCTTCCAAGATAATATCTTGAAGACAAAGAACACTTTCTGAAGCTATCTGAATAATTTTTGTATTCAATAATGATATCTTTTAATAAAATCATGAAAAATAATTGTATGCATGGAAATGTGGAGAGTAGATTTTGAGTCAGAGGGAGCTGGGAGTTTGTGTCCTTGGGGAAGGGCAAATTATTTAACGAGACTGGGTCTGTTTCTTCATATGAGAAATGGGAATAAATTAGTATTTATCTCACAAGTGGTTGGTTGGGGGGAATCAAATGAGCTATTATATGTAAATGCTTAGCACTGAGCTCAGCTCAGCTAGGACATTCAGGAAGTTACCAGTTATTACACTGGGACATTCTGTCTTTAGAGCTTTTTTGGCATGGAACAAAGACATGGTCATTACAGTTTMTTTTATCCATGACCTTACAAACATTAGATTTGACTCTTCCTTATCAACTTGGTAAAACTCCCAAAGGACCTTCCTATGTGCTGTGAGGAGAGAAGCATCTCTCTGATTCTCTGCTTTCTCTTTTTGTCTTTCTATCTTTAATAGCCATTCCACAAGGTGACCCAGATTTTGAAAAGGTTTCATTCCGGATATTCAGAATCCAGGAAACCAACTCAGGCTTTCTGGTAGAACTGCTATTTCCCATCTCCTCTCAACATTGTGGGCTATATTCTTGGATTTTTTTTTTTATCCCCTAATAGCACTAGATAAATTCCATAATGGCAGACTCACCTGTGAGTCTTATGTATCATGTAAATATATAAGACATCCTCAACACCACCAAGTCAGGCACAGAGTAGATAACACATGGTAATAAATATTTAATTAAGTAATTAATACATTGGGCTTTCCAGCTACACATTAAGGGCCCCATGGAGMTGAGCAATTGTAGATCTATTTGTGCCCACCATTGCCAGCGCTAATGCCAATTTGTTCCCTTGGTGCTGAGGAAGGGTCTGGAGTGAAGGCAGACTTGTTTGTGTTAGTATTTGGTTTGAGCTGTTTTGACTTTCTCCTTTACTTCTTATCTCAAGGTTATAGCTACATGGTATGTCAATATACTGTGGGTCAGATCACTCTCTCCTGTTGGCATGTTTGGAAAATAAAAGACTGTTGAAATACTCGTGTTAAACAGTACAAGGATGGCAAACAAAGAGACTACTTTTTTTGTTTTAATTTTGGAGAACTTTTAAAGTGCTTGTAACACTCACAGGCTAACCCCAATAATCTCAGTGCAACTTGTAAACCTGAATTTATTAGTGATTTCAACAGGTCTTAATATAACAAAGAGAAGGGACAGATGCAGAACTAAGGCTCTGTGTTTTCCCACAGGAAAATTCAATCCACACAAATTTCATTAAAGTTTGGACACTTCAGTGGGAACAGCTCTTGGGATAGGAGAGAATGTGGAACCCCTCTTTTGTCTGGCACTTCCTCTTGATCTGCCACATCTGTGTACCCAATGGACTAGCAGCCCTGCTCCCTCTAGCAGTTCCCAAGTGGCACTCGCTTACTGGAAGGGAGGTCTGTTCTTCTTGGAGGTGATGGAGTCAAGGTCTTCATGGATCTCACTTCCTTTCCAGCTCGGGGACCCTATGATCGTGGCTCAGAGAAGAATGATAGACTCTCTACCAAATTCTTCAATCCAACTTTACCACTAAAAAATGAAACGCACCAACCAAAAAGCCCAAACTGATGTGTGTGGGGTTTTTTTGTATTTGTTTTGGTAGTGGGGAGTAAATCCAGGGACACTCAACCACTGAGCCACATCCCCCAGCCCTATTTTATATTTTATTCAGAGGCAGAGTCTCACTGAGTTGCTTAGCACCTCACTGTTGCTGAGGCTGGCTTTGAACTCATGATCTTCCTGCCTCAGCCTCCCAGACCACTGGGATTACAGGCGTGTGCCACCATGCCCGGCCCAGACTGATGTTTTGATTACACACACACACACACACACACACACACACACACACACACGCGCGCGCGCGCACGCGCGCGCTTTCAATCAACCAATCAAGCAAGCAAACCTGGGCGGTCAAAGAGGTGGGAGAAAGTCAGGGATGTTGAAGGAGGGAGTCTGATTTAGACATCCTGTACTTCTTTCAAATAACGTTCCTAAGAATAACAGCAATGTGGGAGCTATAATCTTGGGGGTTTTAAAAGTTTCAAAGCCACAGAAGGGATTCGTTTTTGCCAAGATAAAAGAAAATGGAGCTCTCAAAGTGAGACGAAATTATAATGTTGTATATTCCTAGCAGCTTCAGATGAGTAGCTTCATCATTTACATATCATAAAGGTAGCTCATGTGGTGGGAAGAGCATGAGCTTTGGTGTCGGGAAGACGTGGGTTTGATACTGAAGATCCCATCTGATATATAAAAAAGCAATGAAAAAATAGAAAGAAAACTAACATTCTGCTAACAGTAATTGTGCAGTAATTGTGCAGTAAAAGTGCAGTAATTGATTCAGGCAAGGATCATGGTTGAATGTTAAATCCTTGGATGAAAGGGGAAAAAACCACATTGTAGCAACATGTCGGTTTCCACCTTAACTTAGCAATCAAACTTTATATCAGGAATAGCAAGGACGAACTGACATCATTCCTTCCTGATATGACACAGTGCAAGTACATACTACCAYCTGTGTAGCATTTATCGTGGCTCTAATCAGAAAGAAACAATTAGACCCATTCTGATGATAGGGACATTTTACAAAGCACTGGCCGGAACACTTCAAAGCTATCCAAGTCATGAAAGATAATAAAAAGGTTACTGGGACAATTGGGAATTTTAAGTATGATGTTGATATTAGATAATACTAGTGTATCCCTGTATTAAGTATCTTGGGAATGCAAATGGCATTATATTTATAAGAGAATGCCTACTGGTGAAACTAGGTGATAAGGTGATAGTAATGTACTTTAGGCTTTCTACCAGCTTTTCTATAATCTGAAAGTTTCAAGCTAAAAGTTGAGAGAAGAGGGGCTGGGGATGTAGCTCAGTGATAGAGCACTTGTCTGGGTTTGATCTCCATCCTTCCCCCCATTATTAACTGCATAGAATGAAAATCCCAAGTTTTACTCTGACATATGGCCACACTAGCCCAATAACCCTGATGATATTGATGACCGTGGGTCATGGTACATTGGATACAAAGCCAAAGTTCTTCTTCATTACCCTGCTATTCAGCACTAAGATGGAGCCTGTATTCTTAGAACAGGATCAGGGAATAGGTGTTTTAGGATATACTATGAAAATGTACTACACATGCAGACACAATTTTTAAAACATATTTTTGTATCTCTCCTAACAGTCCAGTTTCTCAACTACATTTAAAGCCTTTCCAATGCCCATCCATAACGTACATTTCCCTCTGCTTTTCACTAAGTTGTTCAACTTTGAGTGAACCCTCTCCTCTCATAATGGCTCGGAGCTTACGGAGAGCAAAGTCCAATTTTTATCATCCCTAACTGGGAATTGTCAAATTTAAAGCCTTCCAATCTGCAAGATGTTTGGAACTAAGTAGAGATTTGTGCATCAACTTGTACTTACCTAATTCAGATTGTATCTGCCTTTTGCATATCTGACCCTCAAGTGTGTTTTGAAATCATCTGGAATTTATCAGGATTTTCCCATGTTTTTGCCGAGCAAAACAACTTAATTGTGTCACCAGCAAACTTGTGCAGTCGCTGTCCCTCGGTTCTTCCCCAGGCCCTGCAGCTGCGAGGGAGGGAGTGTTCTCATTGGCAGACTCTCAGCGCCAGGCAGCCTCCCACAGGCTACTGTGGAGAGGGTCTGTCTTTTGGCAAGGCTTCTCCTATCTTGTTATCGTGAAGATACAAGAGCTACAGATAGAACTGTGATTCTGACAGCGGCTGTGATTGATTGTTGCTTTGGCCACCAACGAGAGGGGAAGAAACTAAGCAAACAGGAAGAGAGACTCAGTAGGGGTGTCTGGGGAAGAGAGGTGGAGAAAAGATGGAGAGGAAAGAAGGACAACAGGAGAAAAGTCAGAACGGAGAGGAAAACATTCCCAGAGCCAAAATCAGCTTCCTGCGTCACTCACAGATCCAAAGCCTGGGCCTAGACAG